CCAGTCAAGGCCCGATGGGCCCGATGGGCTTGGAAGGCCCAAGTTGAGCTTTACATGGGCCTATTTTGTTATAGCCATTTTGTTCTTATGTTTTGTTAGTATAGGTTCCATATACTTTGGTCTTGTATTTTGGACCACATAGAGTAACATTTTTGGGCCATAGGCTTATTGGACCTAGTTTTGGACTTCATGGGCCTTTGGACTTTTGGTACCTAATATTGGGATCATTTTAATCCTTGTAATTTTTCCTTTATATTGTATTTGATTGGCCATTGTATTTAGGCCATTAGATTAGGAATTTAGAAGGTTTTCAATATTAAGTCATTTAGGCTAAATCTAAGTTTCATTAAGATGTCATTTGGCATGAATTTAGGTCACATGTTTTAAGCTTGTATGAGCTGAACATGTGCACCCTAAATACACATCAAATGAGTCTCAAATGCAACTTAGATGATGCTAGTTGCCATAAATTTCGGATGTGCACATGGTACACCAAAATTTGAATTTCAAATGCCATTTGAAATTCAAATATTGGCGCCAAAGATGGACATTTGAATTTAGGCGCCACTAGCTTGCTTATTTGGACTATATATTGACACCTTCACCCTTATGTAATCACTTTGAATGTTAATGAGAATTTTCTGAAATATCTTCAGCCAAGTTCTCTCTCAAAGTCACCAAGAAAGCCTAGTCTTTCTCTTTGATTCTCTAGCTAGGATACTTCCTTCTTAGCTTAGGAAAACCATGTCATTCTCTTCTTAATCCCACCTTCAATCTGTGATCATCAATCAAGGAAGCAAGATCCGTGAGCTTGGAGGAGGCAAGGGAAGAACAAGTTTCACTTCACCTACCTACTTCCATCATTTTTGGTATCAAGAGCAAGGTTTTTCTTCCTTGAAGTTAAGTGTCCTCTTTCACCAATTGAATTCTGTTCTTGTGTGCTAAAATTGTCACATCTTGAGTCTCCTTTGAGGATCTATAAATTTTGAAATTAATTTTCCATAGATCCAAGTGTTGATTGCATTTTGATTCAAATCCGCAATCAAAAGTGTTTTAGGATTCAACTTGTGCCAATTTTTCTTTGTTTGAGTCAATTTGTGTTCATCTTTGTTTGGTCATTTTTGATCCATATGCAGGTGCTTTATTTTAATTTCTGAATCTTAAGTTTGTCAAGTCATGTGTATTTCTTAAAAATGTCAAAACAATTCAAGATATGCTTGTTAATCTAGTGCTGAAATTTTTTTGAGTAATTTTGAGTTTGGCCGAGACTCACCTTTCATCATATGTGCTATGCTTATGTGCTTTTATTTTTACATATTTGAGTTCATATTCATCATTATATCATTGATGAATTCTTAGAGTTAGGTTTCCATTATGTTTGAATAGTTTTCAAAATTCAAATTCCATTTAAAAATTCTTTCAACAAATTTTCTTGGATTTTTTTAAAGTGATATATCTACTTCTAGTGCATAGTTTGTTTTGGATTCAATTTTTGGAAAATTTGCTTGCTGGAAAATAGAACAAAACAGAGGAAAAGTGAAGAAAGAGATTTAGAAAAAGAATATAACAAAAATACAAAAGAATCCAAGACTAATTTCAAAGTTTAGTGCACTAGAACTTGAATTTTCATTTGAAATTATCTCTTCTAGTAGATCCGATTTGTGTATGTTTGTTTTGTGAAATTTTTGGTGTAAAAGGAATTTCATCTTCTCTGGAATTATATCTTGAATTCAGAAAAACAAAATATTAAAAAAAAAGAGAAAAAAAAAACAAAAGAAAAGAAAGAAAAAGCCGAGAAGACCACAAAATTGAGAATCAAAATTTCACTAAGTGTTTGGATCTACTATTTTGGTGATTGCTTCTAATTCTTTTTGGTTTTGTTAATCCACTCTAGTACTTATCTAGGAACATTCCTTTTGAGTGCTAGCTTTTCTTGAGAGTCTTAATTTTCAGATTTGAATTCTTGGATATCTTTTGTCTAAATACACCATATTCTTTGATTTTTTGGTATAAGCTTATTCTAATTGTGCTTTTGTTGCTTGTCCAAGTTGTCTTTCAAAATTGATCCATGCTGGAAGTGGCTCCAAATCCTTGCAAGAGAATCAAACATTGACTCAACAAGATTAGGAGAGGAGTATTGCTAATTCTAAGACCTAAGGACTCAAAATTTGACCAAATTTGTGACCTAAAACTTCTAAATCTCCATTCACAAGAGTGAACCTTCCTAATCATTGTGAGCAGCCATTTTTTCTTCTATTTTTTTTTTTAACATTGTGCAGGTTGCAAGGAGGAGAAAAGACTTCAAGAGGAGTGACGCATTAGAGTACAAAATTATTGTTGGAAAAAAATCCGTCACTAAAACCGTTGCCAATTCGGTCACTAAATTCTTTCTTAGTCTAGTTGAATTTCCTTTGCAATTTTCTTTGATTTCATTCAAATTGTAAAAGCTTGGAGGGAGTATTAAGAAGCTGGTTAGGTATATCTAATCCCTTATAGTCACTCACGTGTAGTACTAGTGGAAGTGGCTTGGAAATTTCATATGTTTCAAGCTTCCACTTAGGGAAAATCCGACTAGTTGCTTAACATCTTCTCCTTTGATTTTGCTTTCCTTGGTTTAATTACTTTACTTTGTTAATTCGACTAGCATGTGTAGAATTTAAATTGATCACGTTTAGTTGTAATAAAAAACAATTGAGAAAATTATCAATCATTAAACATTTGTGAAAAATTTGTGGAATTGAGATTACCATAAGGAAGTTTAGTGATTTCCACTTGAAAAGGCTTGGTTATTAAGTGGCTCTTAGTAGCTCACCTCCCTTGATAGTGCAATTTGTACACTTAGACTTCCAAGTGTTAGTCTTATTCCTAGAAAATATCAAAAAATGTTTTCTTTTTGCAAAGCATATAAAAACTTTTTGTTTAATCATGAGAAAACATTCCTCAAGTGGTAGTGACTCAAGCTCCCCAAAAGTTTTTTCACATCCTACTCAAGAGCTTAAATCACTAACACTTTGGACAAAGCAAGAAGTGTTAACAAGAGAAAAAGAAAAACTTGAAAGAAAAGCACGACTTGCAATCTTAGAGGAAGAAATTCACATTATTAAACAAAAGGAAGAAAAACTTTTAGCAAAAATAAAATTGAGAAAAACAAGGGAAAAAGAAAGAAAAAAGGCATGTCTCTTAGGGAAGAGTAAGGAGGAAAATATCTCCTCTAAAGGACTTTTAAGTGAAAAGAGTTGTTCTATCATTAAAAACCATTTGCAAAATACTCTCTTTCCACATACAATCCTTAACTCTTACCCTTATGCTACCACTAGTCTTGAAGTAGAAATTCTAGAACAAAATATCTTAAAAGAAAAAGACTCTCAACTTCAAGATATAGTGAAGAAGGAGTGGACTACATTTAGTTCTACTTCTTATACTACTTCCTTGGAGGTGCACAAGGAAGAAAGTATTTCTTTGGTCTTAATAAAGCACCCAATTTTTGGTTTATATTGTTTGATAGATACAAATTGTAGTGTTCTATATTCTATGTTTGATCCTATGGGAAGTGCTTATTTCTTTGAACTTAATTTGATTCCTTCCCTACAAGACAAACATAGTTTATATGATCATGAATATCTAACAAACAATCAAATCCAAAATTGTCTAGGAAGTTTCCTAATAGTCTTTTCTTTATATTTTAGGAAATGCTTAGGTTACCATTTAGGGTACTTTAGGCAATATGTTTTAATTTTTAAAAATCATTTTTTCAATGGTATTAGTCTTAGTGTTATTACATTTTTAGGATTTCATTCTAGGTTATGCTTAGAAGAGGATCCTATCTTTACCTTTAGGGAGTTTAATTTTAATATTTTAGTTTACTTTGCTAGGCTAGATAGAAGGATTCCTCTTAGGATCCACATTCCATTTTCTTCCCATGAACATGTCACCTCTTATACATGGTATGTTGTGCATGTAGGTGATGACTTTTTTCCCAAGGATCCTCGTGATTTGAGAAAAATCCTTTTCAAGAGAGAGGGGATAATGAAATCATGCCTAGGAAGGCAAGGGGTGACACATTGAAGGAGCCAAGAGGAGTTGGCTAAACATGAAGGATTGGGCCAGTCAAGGCCCGATGGGCTTGGAAGGCCCAAGTTGAGCTTTACATGGGCCAATCTTGTTATAGCCATTTTGTTCTTATGTTTTGTTAGTATAAGTTCCATATATTTTGGTCTTGTATTTTGGACCACATAGAGTAGCATTTTTGGGCCATAGGCTTATTGGGCCATAGGCTTATTGGGCCTAGTTTTGGGCTTCATGGGCCTTTGGGCTTTTGGTACCCAATATTGGGATCATTTTAATCCTTGTAATTTTTCCTTTATATTGTATTTGATTGGCCATTGTATTTAGGCCATTAGATTAGGAATTTAGAAGGTTTTCAATATTAAGTCATTTAGGCTAAATCTAAGTTTCATTAAGGTGTCATTTGGCATGAATTTAGGTCACATGTTTTAAGCTTGTATGAGCTGAACATGTGCACCCTAAATACACATCAAATGAGTCTCAAATGCAACTTAGATGATGCTAGTTGCCATAAATTTCGGATGTGCACATGGTACACCAAAATTTGAATTTCAAATGCCATTTGAAATTCAAATATTGGCGCCAAAGATGGACATTTGAATTTAGGCGCCACTAGCTTGCTTATTTGGACTATATATTGACACCTTCACCCTTATGTAATCACTTTGAATGTTAATGAGAATTTTCTGAAATATCTTCAGCCAAGTTCTCTCTCAAAGTCACCAAGAAAGCCTAGTCTTAGCCTTAGGAAAATCACCTCTCCTAAGCTTAGTCCGTGAGCTTTCTCTTTGATTCTCTAGCTAAGATACTTCCTTCTTAGCTTAGGGAAACCATGTCATTCTCTTCTTAATCCCACCTTCAATCCGTGATCATCAATCAAGGAAGCAAGATCCGTGAGCTTGAAGGAGGCAAGGGAAGAACAAGCTTCACTTCACCTACCTACTTCCATCAAAAGCTGACACATAAAACATTTTATTCCCACTCATAACAGTTTTCATAATCAGTCCCATCCTTGGATGAAACACTTTGCAAGTCCCATCTAGAATCAGAATGGCTAATCCTTTTTCTTGTAGTTTTCCTATGCTTAACAAATTGTTTTTGAGTTCAGGAATATAATAAACATCAGATAATACCTGAGTTATTCCCTTCACTTGTACCCTGACACTTCCTTTTGTTGCCACTATCATTTGCATGTCATTGCCAAGCTTCACTGTCCTGCAATGTTCTTCCTCCAAATTCAGAAACCATGATTTATTCCCTATCATATGGTTACTGCAGCCTGAGTCAAAATACCATCTTTCTTCTACCCGTGTTTGGTGTGGCTCTTCATAGGACATCAACACAAGCTCCTCTTCTTCATCGAACTCAGCATAGTTGGCTTTCTTTTCCCAATCAGGGCACTCGTACTGAAATTTCCTGAGCTTATGACACTTGAAACACTCAATAATGGCTTTATTTAGAGGTTGTCTCCCTTACCTCTGCCAAGTCCTCCTCTAAATGCACCATGACCCCTACCTCTATTGGGCCTGTCTTCCTTAGTTACTTTCAACACATGCTCCTCTTCTTGGTATCCTTGCATCCTTTGTTCATGTACAAGTAGACTCCCATGCAACTCATCAATACTTAGAGCACTTAGATCATTGGATTCCTCTATTGCACAAACAACATAATTGAACTTGGCCGTCAATGATCGCAATATCTTACTAACCACTGTACTTTGCTCCGTTGTCTCGCCATTGGACTTCATCTTATTCACCACCATCAAGGTTCGTCCCAAGAAGTTGTCTACTTTTTCACCTTCCTTCATAGTAAGCAACTCGAACTCTTTTCGCAATGCTTGAAGTTGTGCCCTTTTTACTTTCATGGATCCTTGATAATTTTGTTTCATTGAATTCCAAATTGCTCTCGATGTCCCCTTGTCGAGAATTGTTTCCAAGATTTCTCTATCAATCGCCTAAAACAAGAAGTTCTTGACCTTCAGATCTTTGAGTTTGGCCTCCTCCATAGCTTTCTTCTGCACCTCGCTTACTGATCCTGACCCAAGTGTTGGTGCAGGA